TTTCCCTAAACAGAAAACCTAATAGCAAGAGGTCTATATCAAGATGCCCTGCTAAATTGAAACTGTACCCCCGCCAGGAATCGAATCACTTTTCCATCAAGAATAGCATCCCCTAGCCGAAATATGACGTTACTAATTTAGATGCTGGAGACCATCTTGATGAAATAAGTTTTGGATTATCTATATTAGAAAAACGCATCTTGTTGGGATTTATAAAGCGTGTTCCAATAACTTGGACCGATTTTAAATGTGAATTAATTTTAAGCGTTTAATTGATTTTTCTTAATCTTTCAGATTTGGCGGATATTTCGACAATATAATATTTCACACATAATCGCCATGGCTTAACATTATCCAATATAGAAATAAATTTTCACAAATAACACTGATTTATTTACTGGCCAATACAAGTCTACAACAATATGATTCTTTTTACGTGCATTTTTTTTCAAGACTTCTATCACTTGTAGTGTTAGTAAAGTTTGTCTTTTCATCGTTCCTTCAAATCTCTACACTACCATCAATTTACGAGAGATTTTTAGGTAGGTTATTTGCGGATTCATGACACACTTCCCCTCAATATGTCTTTTAGCGACAAATTATCTAAGCAACTTTTCCTCATTATATGTATTAAAAATATCGATCATCATTTTCGGATTTTATGTAATAGCCTACATCTTTTTCCATTTTCCATGTTTCTCACGGGTTCAGACTATCACTTTCGGATTTTATATAAAAGCTTACATCTTTTTCCATTTTGCTTAGAACTTCCATATTTCTCACGGGTTCAGACTAGCAATTTCTGATGATATGTAAAAGCCTACATCGTTTTCCATTTTGCTCATAATTTCCATGTTTTTACGGGTTCAGACTGTCACTTTCTGATGATATCTAAAAGCCTTCATCTTTTCCATTTTGATGATAACTTCCATGTTTCTCACGGGTTCAGACTATCACTTTTTTCACGTTATATAAAAGCCTACATCTTTTTCCATTCTGCCTATAACTTCCATATTTCTCACCGTTTCAGACTATTACTTTCTTATGTTCTATAAAAGTCTACATCGTTTTCGATTTTTTCTCATAACCTCCATGTTTCTCACGTTTTCAGACTATCAATTTCTAATGTTATGTAAAAGCCTACATCTTTTTCCACCGCCCTCTGTATGATGATAAACTACGCCCAAAGGAAAGGCCGTTTTTGAAAAAATAATGTGGCCAGCTGTGCTGTGTTGATAAAGTGATATTACCAGCTATACTTTTTTGAAAAATAATACGAGCTATACGTTTATGAAAAAAATAACGTTACCAACTATACTTTTTTGAAAAAGAAAATTACCATCTATACGTTTTTGAAACAAAAATTTCCAGCTATACATTTTTGGAAAAAACAATATTACCAGCTATATACTTTTAAAAAAATTACCAGTTATACGTTCTTTTAAAAAAAAAAAAAAATTAATAATAATACCAGCTATTGGTTTTTGGGAAAATAATATTACCAGCTATACGTTTTTGAAGTAACATCATAAATTTCACTAAAGAAATTGTGATCTACAGAAAAATTTGAAAAAAAAAAAATGAAAAATAAAAATACTTTGTTGAAAAACAAATATTACCAGCTATACATTTTTTAAAAAAAAGAAAAATATTACCACTGATACAGAATTGAAAAAATTATTACCAGAAATAGAATTTTTGAATGAAAAATATTACCAGAAATAGATTTTTAAAAAAATATTACAACAATAAAATTATGTCAACATTAAATGACCCATTGAGGTTGATAAGCCGTAAAATCAAAACAAACAATCAGATTGTATCAATCCATATGTCGGTTCACTTGTGAAACTCAGAATTCATTCTATTAGCGACAGGCCTTGATCAGTTTTAACACAAACGATATCAATACACACAAACTGTATCAATCAATAATGTTTTATCTAATTCAATAGTTGACTGATTTGTGAATTTATAAGAGTAAGCGGACTGTTTTCAAATATTCTTCCTTTGTTTCTGAAAAGATTTAATTTTGCCTGGAGGACAAGAAATCTACTTAACATTAGTGAATATCACAATAAGTGTGAATAGGTTTGCTCTGTTCACGCAACTTTCCCGTCTATTGAACAGAGGTAAAGTTTTCTTTTGTTTCATGTTTAGGATTAGATGTACGGTTTCTTCTAAAAATCTTCTCAGTTTCTTTCACTGCCAGTAACCCCTTGCTTGCGAAAATGTTCATGAGACCGGCTTTAGTCGGGATTTCTTGAAAGCTTTTCGTCATAAATCAATTGATTTGGTTATGATTTCAAAACGTATTATTTGTATTAGGCGACAGTTAATAGGATTTCTATCAACACGCTGTGAAGATTGGAATTTAATGGCCTCTCCGTCATAAAAATGATATCAATATCCTAAAATGGAAAGTAAAAGTGAAAGTAAACATACTGATATTTGTAACAGACTAAAATGGCGTTAACCAATGAAAACAATTGTTTGCATTTTCTTATTGTCTGTATGCATAAGTTCCATCGAGCTCTTTTTTGAAAACGAGGGAATTAATAATGACAGCAATTTTATTTTATTTTGCGAAAGGGAGATAATTCACGATAACGCAGAGTTATAGTTCCTAAATCCATTGTCAGAAAAGAAGTCCAATGACCTAATGAAAAAGTTCTTTGATGGCTGAGACGCTGATTCATGTAATTCTCTTGTTATTGAATGATATTTATGTGATATATATATATATATATATATATATATATATATATAATAATTTATTTTAACAAAAATACTAAAGAACTTTTGGATTATTTAACTAACGAGTTCTTTCCTATTTTGTATATATTTTCACACACACACACACACACACACATATATATATATATATATATATATATATATATATATATATATATATATGTATATGATAAAAAGTTTGGAAAATGTAATATTGTTAAAATTGGTCAGTATCACGGATAGAACGTCTGTGAAGATAAAATTGGCAATCGAAATCTTCTGGTCATCTTCCCGTCATGTCTGTTTAAGCTTGAAAAAGCGTGTCACCAATCGGTTTTGACGCCTGTGTCTACAGTTATATATATATATATATATATATAATAGACTAATCTCTCTCTCTCTCTCTCTCTCTATATATATATATATATATATATATATATATATATATAATAGACTAATCTAATTAGTTTATTCAATCAGACATTTCTAAAAGAGAATTTGCTGCCTAAATACACATACACACAAACACACAGACACACACACACACACACACACACACACATATATATATATATATATATATATATATATATATATATATATATATATATATGAATGTATAGCAAGAGAAAGATGTGTTGGCATCATGAATTCATCTTAATAGGTTATGTTAAATTTAATAGACAAGGTCTGTCTGCTTCATTATTTAAGTTATCTTTCCAGTTTGCGAATACGTAGTTGTAGATGGGGATTAGAATTATGGAAAACATCTCCGAAGTTCATTCTTGCAGAACTGAAATATTTAAAATAAGATAGAGGCCCTCAGCTTAGCGCAACAGCACAAAAGAAATCAATTTGGGCTGGGCTAGAAAATATTTTATTATTAATATTTATCTAGAAATTCTATCTGAGGAATTTTCTTTTCCAAATACAAACATGAAACCAAATTCCTACGACGCTATCCACAAGCCATATCAAAACATTAGGTACACTAATGTATGGAAAAGTACATATAAATATATACAGAAACACATACACACAACAATAAAGATATCTATAAAGAAAATATATACATTCACAATCATAAACAGCCACATACAAACATACATACCAACATAAAAACAACACAAATATATACATATATAAATACATGCACCTAGAAAAATACACCCATATAAAACAGAAGTAGAAACCGATATATTAATATACAAACATTCCAAGATAAGTGGAATAAATTCAGAATCCATGCAACATTAATTCCTGAAGAATTACCATTATTCAATATCATCCAACTTAATATTACATGTTATGTAATGTTAAACTCTTAGCAAATAAGAGGAGAGAATAATTAAAAATTATGATACATTAAAATAATAATAATAATAATAATAATAATAGTATTACATAGTATTACAGATTTAAAATACCATTCCATCGCCACACTTTATAATAATACTTCTACCGTGCTATGCCTGCAGTTAAGGGTCAGTTCTTTCATTAAGGAATGAACTAACTGTTAACTGAAGACACACACACACACACACACACACACACACACACACACACACACATATATATATATATATATATTTAAATATTTTGATTCCAGGTAATTTGGTAATTTGGGAAGTATGTGTATGTACGTATGTGTGTATGTGTGTGTGTGTGTGTGTATGTGCGTGTGGGTGTACATATGTGTTCACTGATTCCTCGTAGTGTGACAGTGTGTATGTATGGAGAAGGGGTATACACATATATAGACGCATGTTGACAAAAGCACACGGAAATGGAAATAGATCTAAGAACACACAGGAGTCATTAAAAGATAAGCATGCCGATAACTACTCCATCATTTCTCGAACTAAACTTAATTGTTTTATAACACTCCACGCAGAACTTTTCACTGCCAGTTCAAGGAAGACATTTGGATCACTAACACAATAAATAGAATGTCTCATATCGTGAATATTTAACATCGAAAAACATAAAGGAAAAAAAGAATTATTTTCAGTAAAATGTGGAAATCTCCACCCTTTGCCAGATGACGTGCAGCAAAATGATGGAAAATAAAGCATAATACTTTTTTAAAATCCACATTACAACCAAAAACGTTTGCGATTTCTCTCTTCTTTTTATTATACCCACTTTTCTCTCGTTGGAACTACTGTAACCTCTTCCTATATATATATACACTTTATTTATTGATCTATCTGGATAAAGGACATACACAGCGAGGATTATTGCTTTGATGATCTCGTCTACAGGTTATATCAATATCTATATCTATCTATCTATCTATCTATCTATCTATCTATCTATCTATGAGCCTGTCTTTATATCTAAGTCTGTTCATAACCCTGTCAATCTATGTGTCTATCGGGGTCACTTCATATCTATCTATCTATCTATCTATATCTTCTATCTCTTTATATATATATATATATATATATATATATATATATATATATATATATATATATATCATAACCCTTTCATCTATCTTTCAGTGTTACTTTTTTGTCTGTCTGTCGGTCTATCCATCTATCTCAGTCTGTTCTTAACCATATCTATCTATCTATCTATCTATCTATCTATCTATCTATCTATCTATCTATCTGATATAATGGAATATGCATACGCCTGTGTTCCCCCTCATTGGAATATGATTGGCTGATGTCAGTCATAAATACAGACGGACGTGTAGATACGACAGAGTTTAAGTCTATGACGACGCCCATTGGACTACTACGCCATTGGCTATCCTATTGGTCTACATCTATTACCTGCGACTACGACGAGTACCAGTCGATTATTGCTACCGTATTCTACTTGGTTACAGTAGCCAAAACCACTTAGCTACTTCGATCAAATATATCCCTTTCCAGGACATATCACAATCTATCTATCTATCTATCTATCTATCTATCTATGTCTGTTCATAAGCTCATCTGTCTATCACTCTCAGTCTGTTCATAAGAATATCCGTCTATCTCAGTCACTTCATATCTATCTATCTATCTATCTATCTATCTATCTATCTATCTATCTCAGTTTCTTCATACCTCACTATGTATGCATGTATCTGTCTCATATTGTTCATAAACTTATGTATCTACCGGTCTATCTGTATTTTTATCTATCTATCTTTTTATCTCAGTCTGTTCTTACCCTGTCTATTTTTCTATCTACGTTTAGTTCTTGTATCTAGATCAGTCTATTAATAACCCTATCAATCTATCTGGGTCACTTCATATCTTTCTATCCATGTATCTATCTATCTCAATCTGTACATAAACTTATGTAGGTTAGATAAAAAAATTCATACGCACGCAAACATACACACACACACAATTTTTTTTTTCTTTATCCATAAATGTCTTTTAATTTTTTCTGAGTTTATAAATTCAAACTAAACAGCGTAAATCAGAGCCAACACTGGTGACAATATTGATGAGAATACATGTGACTAAATATCTTGTCAGCAAATTTGAACGACCCTAATAAACATACCGACGACTAATCTCTTAGTAACGATATAATTGGATTTTTTTCCCCCTGACCCACATACAAACGCCTGACGGGTTTTCATGTTAAGAACAGAGTGTATCAATTATTTTCCTCGTGAGGAAGCAATTATTACCTTGAGATTCGTAAATGTAAGCAAATTGGCATCAGATATGGGTAACGAAATCTTGTATAGTATCCAATTTGATTTTGAAATGAGTTGATAGGTAACAAGAAGTAGTCGTAATGAACCATATTATGCATTATATTGAATAGTACGCGGAAGCAATTATACAGAAAGTCCTCGGGTTACGTCGGACCCGGTTTACGGCGTTTCGTTCTTACAGCGTCATCTCCTATGAATTTATTAAGAAAGTCTTGTCACGTCAGTATGGCGTTTGCAATGTTTAAGCAAAGTTCACGCGAGCTAGTTGACAGGCGGAGCAGACGAATACGTCCTGACGGCGTTTTTTTTTTCACCGCCATATTGGATTGTGTTAAATTCACGATCTCTCGTTTGTTTCGTTTTCTGAGGGATCTTTTTGCTTCCAAGCGTAAGGTAAACTCTTATGATGGCAGTGCTTCGAAAAAACAGAAAGCCATCTTCATGGCAGTGAAAGTCGAGATAAACGTTCGGAAAAGGGTGAAACATGGATGAACCTCGACTGGTTAGAAAGTCGTTTATAAAGCAGCGCGGTCTCAGTATTCCGAAATTGTTCTTCTTTCTATGTGCCGTGTCCTTTCAGGACGTAGGCGATCATGGCTCTCCACCTCGCTCTATCCCTTGCAGCTCTGAAAAAGTTCTCTGCCACCTCCCCCAGACCACGTTCTGTCATCCATTTGCTTAAGGCCGCTAGGTATGTCATGCGTCGTTTTCCTTGTCTTTCTTTCTCTCATTTCGACCTCCTTCCTCATTATGTGTCCCAGGGACTTCAGCTGCCTCTTCTCGATATTAAGTATAAGCCTCCTCCTTGTTTGGAACCTCACCAAGATCTCATCGTCGCTCACACGTTTGGTGCATGATATCCTCAGCATCCTTCTGTAGAACCATATCTCTGTACGGTTGCCTCTTTGTGTCTTTTCTATAAATACTTTTATGGTAATTGTTAGGATTAGCTCATTGGACCCTTTTATTTCTGTCCCCAATTTTTTTGGTTTAATTCCCCTTCCCTCGTCAGGGATGTCAGTTTTCTGGTGGATGCGGGACATCTTTCGTTTCGAGAGTGATTTTCTTATTTGTTGTTTTTTTTTTTTCTGAATGAGTTTGTCTGATTGAATGTTTTATATTATTAAAGTGCCACGTCCAGTTAACTGATATTTCTGCCGCATTTAAAGATTGGTTGGGTGTGGGATTATTAATAACATGTTTTTGTGAATAGTTCTTGTTTTCATATTGTATATACATATTGGGGTTAGTTTTTAAATTGTTGTTTTATTCCCACCCCCACCAGACAATGAATCGTACATATGGGGACTAGTTAGGATTTTCATGGAGACAATAAGGTATTATGGTGATTGTAGAAAGAAAGAAAAGTAAGAATGCGTTGTTTTTGTAAAAGGAATATTGTTGTATGTTTGAGTCAGTGTTTGTGGCCAGCTAAGTTTAATGTAAAGGCAGATAACCGTCCTTTTTCCCCGTTCTGTATATAGCAGAATAAATATCGCTTTTTGCTATATTATTTAGACTTTTCCAATTTAAGTCTAGTACTTGACTGGCCTCGAGATCTCATCAACTTACAGTTAAGCTGGCGAGATGGAGCCGTAAATTCAGTTTCTTCTGTCGCACTTCTCGCTTATCGAAGTCCAGCCAACTTTAATCTGCAAGAATCTAAATGTAACGTCAATCACTATCTACTGTCCTCCTGTTTAAACTTTTCTCTTTCTACTCATAATTATTGTTTCTATCCCTATTTCTTCCACACCCTGCAACCCCTTGTAGCTTGGTTGTGTTATTACCTTGCTTGGCGTGATACCGATTTAAAAAAAACAAAAACATCTATAGTTATGATGTTTTTCTAAGCGTAACTTAGATATGGAACTCAGTCGACAGTATGAGGCAACCAGTGAGATCGAACGCGGTAATCAGTCTTTATTTGATCACGTGAGACAAGCTTGCTAACCATTACACCACGTCGATATGTTCTTTGAAAGCTTTCTGAGCGTAGCTTATATATGGAACTGTTTCCATGTGAATCGTGTTTCAACATGAAATGACCCATAAGGATATTGATATATAGTTAACTGAACCAAACCAGTCAAAACCTAATGCTTTGGTTCTTGAATTTCAGCCTTCTAAGAGCTGCAAGAACTTTTTAGGCATACAGAAATTAAACAAATGCCAGCACGGAACCAATTAAGGGATAATAGAAGAGGCTTAACAGAAGAGCCGAAACAAATACACCAGTAGCCGGTGTATGGGTCCAAATTCGGCAAAGCTGAAATTCTTTATGAAGAGCAGTTTTTTTTGTGCCTCAGTGTGTATCAGAAAAAAACTACCAAAGAACGGAAAAACAAATGAATTTTGTTCTTTTCATTGTTATTGTTTCATTACAGCTGTTCTGAAACTTCCACATTAGTTACTGTTCCTTGTACCACGGTGATAGTCCAAGGTAGAACCAATAAAGAACTTGAACACGGATATGGAGTAACACAGATATATTACAAACAGAAATATATACAGAGAGGTAGAAAAGAGTTAGTACGAACAATCAGGTTTAGTAGCAATTGTCTGAAAGCGAGTCTGTTTCGGGCTGCCTTTGACTCGACTGACTGATTCGCTCGCTCTGACTGACTGAAGCCTGGAGTGAGGTCCGTCAGGAGTCTCTCACTCCAGGCTTCAGACCTCACCCCAGGCTTCAGACAGAACAGTATTTAGTCACCCCTCCACGAGGGCATTATGTGGCACAAGGCCGGTTTAACGAGCGATCTGAACTCTCTGCCTCCTCTTGAGGCGCAGTATTTATTACGTATGGAATAGTCCATTATGTTATTATGGGTAAGGTCCCATAACAGTTACATATATTGGTCACGGTATTCTCGACATTCGTTGACCCAATCACACTTCAGTTACTTCAAGTTTTTTTCCTCATTGGTGACGAAATCGCTAAGCATTTGCTGTCACATAAGAAGACAAATATAACAGAAAATCCAGAACGTCTCGTCCAATTTAATTAGGTCCCTCGATTAATTCGATATAAGTAAGGTTTAAAATGAATTTTTTTTAAAAATGAAAAAGCTTTCTTGAAGTTTCCATCTTAGCTTTTATTGAAAGCTAAAAGGTTTAAAATTTGCTGTTTCCAGTAAGCAAAATACTCTGTGCTGTATTTCAAAGAGAAATTAGAAAAAATTCTTTTTTTTTCAATGACACCGATAAAATTCGGCCATTTTGACAGATATGTAAACAAAAGTTAATTCTCCCTTTAAAAAATCTTTCAAAAATAAAATATATATCTCGGAAACATTATTTGAAGAAAATTAGCAAATTTAAAGTTAAAGTAATCTGATTTGAAACAAATATTACTTATGGCATAAAACGTTGTATTTGAACATTTATTAACTACGGGGTCTTATTTTTCAAGCAATTCAATCGATTTATTTAGAGTCTATCGACAGCCAAACGTGTTCATAGTAAACTATGGTAGATGAAATGATAATTTTTCTTCGCACTAAGCGGAAACAACCCTTAAAATACAGGACATTTTAGTGCTAGATTTATCGGTTTGTACATCCATACTTCCGAAATTTTGCACACATACAAAATCAAAACGATTTTTTTTTAAATATTCGAGGTCGTCAGATTATAATAAGCTTTAAAATATATGATTAGTATATATAGTTTTACTTAATAACAATATTCCCTAAAGAATATTACATGAAAATGTATTACAAAAGATTTAAAAACTATAAATTCAATTTTTCGGAGAAAATTTGTCTTTCTTCAGACAATATTGCCTTTAATATATCGTATTCATAAAAGCATCTATAATTAAATAATGTCTTAGTTTTGTTGTTTTTTTTTCTATTCAGAACAGATTTTTGATAAGACGGGTCCAATTTTGCTAGATAAATTCGGTGATTTAATTTCTTCGAAGGATTCTGTTTTTAACTAATATAGTCACGAAAAATGAACTCGTTGAATTTCTCAAGTTTTCATGAAGTTAAGTAAGGTTCTGAAAGACATGTATAAATATTTTGAGGCAGATTTTCTAAGAAATTTCAAAAGTAATTTCATTTAGTTGTAATTCCTGAAAATTTCGTTAAAATTCGATAATTATTTGATTTTTGCAAGAATTTCCAAATTAGTAAATCTGTTATTGTAAGAAAGAGGCCAACATTTTCTATGCTAAAAATTGGAACAGTTTCTGACGCAAGAAAAACAAGTTTTTTTATCAAAATTTCGTATGTTCTTAAAAGAAATAAAAAAAATAATTAAATAATAAAAAATATACTTTGATCCTTCTTAATAATAACATAAAAATTTTGAGGCTGCAAAAATGACAAACTCTAGGCAATCAAACCCATCCTCAAAGAACGGATAGAAGCTAAA